TCGCGCACGCACATACATATACGTAAACATATTTGCACACACACACACACACACACACACACACACACACACACACACACACACACATACACACACACACACACTCACACACACACACACACACACATACACGCACACACACACACACACTCACACTCACACACACACACACACACACACACACACAATAATAATTTGCTGCCGGTCGAATCGCATAAATAGGACTGCATGGTCATTTCAATTTTGTTTCTAATTTCCCTTTCACCATTTTAGTGATAAGTCTTACTTCGAAATGCTCACTACGAATATACTAAATATTAAAAAATACTAATTATAGTGTAGCTGCAGAAATATATGATATGTTCTTAAGTGTTTAAATATTATGGGCGATAAATCTATTTTAGGATACTACTGAATTATCATGAAGTTATCATAAGTTATCATGAAATGTCAGTTCCCTACCGCACTGTTCTTCCCCTTTTTTTCGAAACTAAAAGGCACGCTCATTGTAGCAGCTGTAGAGAAATATATGAATGAGAACAAATAACTTCACAAAGTAAGGCATGTAACCGACACATTTCAATGTTTCTTTCCTCAGAACTACATTCGTACACTTCCTATAGACTAACGACGGCATGCACCGAATGGGTAATTGTCACGAATCTCCCGAAAACCTGTGGAAGGCCTCCTGCGTTTGTCTGTAAAGTATTGCACACACAGGAAGGTGGTTCACACTAAACTAGAACCAAATATAACAACGAAAAGAAAAACAAGGAAATACACGAATGGGCTACTGTATTTTCGTATTTTTTCCCTTCGTTGCTATATTTACGACTCCTCAAATGGACTTGAGAAGCTGGTCCTCGCCGTCTTCCACATTTGGATACATGGAACGGTAAGTAATTAAATAATAAATGAAGGAGTTTCATCGCCGCAATGAGTCAAATTCACATAAGCTTTCAATATTAGTTTATATACTGTTAACCGTACGTGTGACGTATTACAATTAAAAGTGATTCTATTGTTTTTTCTACATCTATATTTTTTTGTATTTATCAAACGGACAAAAAAAATCCCCAGATATGTGTTTAAATCGATTAATTAACAGCTAGATAATTTTTCATTCGGTCATAATCTATTTTCTCTTATATGTTCATTCAGCCAAATATTAAGTGTCCTTCAGTGTAGTATTCGCCAGCCATGTACAGGTAACGTTTCCCTAAATTCCTTAGAACGTTTGTAAATTTTCATTAAGAGATGTTTCCTGACACCCTGTCACGGCGGCTGTACCTATGTAATCAAGATGACAGAATCAAAGAAGATTGCATAAAAAGAATCGCGTTTAATTACGAAAACTTTTAATTCCCTTTGAAGTAATTCTGAACGAGCGGGAGACTCGATGTTTTGGAAAATCTGAACGATAGTAACTGAACAGATGTGAATGGTACGGCATTTCACGCCCAGGGTAATCTATTGTGTGCAACGGACGCGGTAATGGCAGCAGAAGGCGAATGTGAAATGCATATGGGCGTAACGACATAAGCGGAAACAGGAAAGGTGAGAGTGGGGCATTAGGTGCGTCGCACTGCCGCCCGGGTAGAACTAGAGCTAGGGTGTGCGCCCACCTCGTCACTGTGGGCGTCGGCGCTGCGGTCCCGGATCCTCTGCAGGACTGTGGTAGGCGTGACCTCGAGGAAAGGCAGCTTCACGGGCTCGCGCGGGACGGGCGGCCCCGGACTCCACATCTTCTTGGTTGAAGCGTCCCAGTGGGGCGCCCCACACACCATCTTCCACATCCCGCCCTCCTCGCGCCCCAGGCCGCCCTGGGACCTGTGCTGGCCTGAGGGCGCCCTCGTCAGAGACGCGGCCGTGGCTGAAGGTTTCCCGCTGACCTGGCGGGGGTCGATCGGCGGAACGACGTGCCCGTGGGCGGTGGGCGGCGGGAGCACTGCAGGGACGCTGCTAAGGGACCGCGGGCGTCGGAGCGGCGACGGGAGGATGCCGCGCGGACTGGGCGGCAGGCCCGGAAGGGAGCGGGACCGCGGGGTGGAGGGCTTGAGGGGCGCCCCTAGCAGGAGGGGCGAGTCGGGGGCGGGCTGCGAGGGGGGGCGGGGCAAGGCGATGGAAGTGCCCCCTGACGACCCCAGGGCAGCGTGATCCCCCGTGGTGAGCGGTCCTACGTGAGCACTCACGCTGACCACGAGGGCGGGGGCTCGCTACCCCCGCCCGGCGTCGAGCCGCAGCTGAGCATGAGGCGCGAGGCCCGGGCGGGAGTCAAGGGCACCCCGCGTCCATCACACTGTCACTTGTCACTCGTGTCGCTACTGCGACCCGCGTCGCACGATACGTCAGGAAACACTCCTCTAATTCACACTGAATGAACAACCAGACGCAACACAGCCGATCAAAGCTCCGGGTCAAACTTTCAACCGTTTAAACAGTGTCATTTTGTGCTATCTTGTTGTGACGCAGGTATATACAGAGGCGTCCACGTGCTCACGCCAACAGGTAACGAGGGACTGTGAGTCGCACGGCGCTCGTGACGCTTACACGAACTCATACACACACACCTGCGTCGGCCGGTCCCGCAACGCACTTCTGTGAAGCGGCCATCATCGATTGCCTTGTTGCGAGAACGGTCGGACCTAATAGTAGATTGTTAAGGGTATGATCATCATGTCTTGAGTGTTCTGCATTATGCCAGTTTCAAGGCTGTAAGGTAGTAAGCAAATATAATACGTGATATAATAACTGATTTTTAGAATCGTTAATTTAGCATAGTTTGCGCTGCAGAATCATAGAAAATGGATAATTGCAACTCATAGTTTCAGAATTGTTTAAATAAACTTATGAATATATATGGTAAAGAAATGAATACTAAATGAAATAAATAAGTAAATGAACAGGCTAAGCTATCAACAAAATATATCTTTCCATACCTCTATCTGTCCGTCTTTCTATCTCTCGTTACCTCTCGTGAATTTATATATATGCACAGTTCCGGATACCTTTGTAAATGCTTCTCGTAGCTGCTCCATCTAATATCGGCTAATCGAACTAATGAATTGGCTGTTTTTTTAGGCCAGAACCAAACACTGATTCAATAGACAGAAAGTATGCTATATTATGTTCTTCTTTATAGAACATTAAGTGAACACACAACCGCAATAGGACTCTCTCTCTCTCTCTCTCTCTCTCTCTCTCTCTCTCTCTCTCTCTCTCTCTCTCTCTCTCTCTCTCTCTCTCTCTCTCTCTCTCTCTCTCTCTCTCTCTCTCTCTCTCTCTCTCTCAACAGTAGTTTTAATTCGTCTCAGCTAATCTGAATATCCTTCATTCTGTGCTAATATCGGATCATAGTTTTCGCTATCATTCCATCTTGGCGCCTCACGCATCCGCATTCGAACAGCTGAGCGACAAAATACGTGTCTGCTTGTTTCAGCTCGAGCAACTACTAGCTGGATGGTTCCAAGGAGGGTGAATATCGAAAGTCTAAGATGCGACTCCCCATACACGTGCTGTATATCTGATATCTTGAAAGAAAAATCTTGTTCATTCTGACGAAATGGGATTTTAATCTCGCTCTCTACTTTTATCTGACACATGCCATTTATATTCCTCTTGTATCTGGCAGTGCATGTCTATGCTAAAAGTTATCTAAACGCGCTATTGCTCACCCGGTACTTGCTTGAGTAGTTTGCAGAAAGAGGGAACATAAAGAAAATAAAAATCACGAATTGCATACTGTTTATGATAATGCATATTTATAAATTCCTGAAAACATTTATTTCGCGGCTAATCCTACTATACTCTAAATGAGAAAGAAATATGTCTCATGGTATCTGACGTCATCATGACATATGGGAAAACCGATATGAAAACGAAGCTGCAAAGCTGACACCTGACACCTGACACAACAAACGCCATTGCCAACATCGCTTCCAGTTCGCCCAGGAGTATGTAGAAAGCACACGGGAAGCTCCATTGCTAGATGAGAGATAACAGGTATAAATGTCAATAACTCTTTTCAATTTGTTAATTAACTAATTTAGTTCAAATTTCGATACAGATATATGTTTATACATAATAGTGCCCTATATACCATACTTCATGTCCTCAATCCCTAGCATTATCTACCACTGAGATATGACGATATATCTATGAGACGGCGAGGAGTGACCTGAAATATATTGGGTGGAATTTCCTGTATGGTGTTGGTGGACTCGAGATTCAATTTAAACAAACTATTTCGAATTTTCTCCCATTACCACGCTCCGCGACCAAGCAAGGCATGTGTCCCAAACCTCCTGATAAACATGTTTGGGAAACGGTTAACGCAGATCATGCTAAGAGGTAATGTTGCGGAGCAAACTGTGACTTCATATTCAAGTCATTTTATTGATTCAAAAACATATCAAAATGTTTTTTAAAAAGATCTTTTATGAAAAAATACAAATATGCCATTTTGATCTTCACCTACACATATTCTGTATGCAGGTGCTTATTGACAGACAGAAGGTAAAAAGCGAGATGAACTGCCTGTTTCTACAGAATAAACAATATTTTTTTTCAAGATATCAGATATGTATATCACACACACACACACACACACACACACACACACACCCACACCCACACACACACATAATATTGATGACGAAAACTATGTAAAAACACACAATACGAGGTCTACTAAACCGCTGATTGCGCTTTCTCAGAACACTTCTTACATTCCTTTCGTAACAACGTTGTTAAAAGCCAAAGATGCTGTTTTTTTCTTCTGTCATGTAACTGCGAGCTACACGTGTCTCCTTTGCTAATTGATTATGCCAGGTATTGTATTGCGCTAGATATCTGTGTTCTTTTTATTATTATCATTGATAATATTATAATAATTGTTATCCCCTTTATTGTTATCATTATTATTATTAACATTATTATTACTATTATCATTATCATTACTATTATCATCATTATTATCCTTATCATTTTCGTTATTATTATTATTATTAACATTATTATTACTATTATCATTATTATTACTAGTATCATCATTATTATCCTTGTAATTATCGTTATTATTATTATTATATTATTATTATTATTATCATTATTATTATTGTTATTATTATTAACATCATCATCATTATCTTCTAATCCCTCTTTTTTGTCCTCTCCGTTTCTTCTTATTTTTTTATGATTAATTTATCATTATCATCATTACTGTTATTTTGTTTTGGTTCGCTGGTGTTGCTATCACTGATACCATTACCATTACCCTTATTATTCTCAACCTTGAGGGACCCCGTGAGGATTCGGTGGCGTTATGGAGGATTTAGGTAAAAAAAAAAAAAACGAGTCAAGAACTGTATTTTATATGGTAAAGAAAGTGGAAAAAGGTAAGACAAAGCTATGATTCGGTCACAGCGCTGCGCGAATGAACTAACGAATGAACCGCATCCTCAACGCACAAAGATCGCCGTACAAACCCCCAAAATCTTGCTAAACCGGGTGCTCTGGCCCCGGACCCTCTCCCGATTGCCGGTTAGAACTGAGCCTTCACGGCCTTCGCATTTCCTATACGACTGCTTCATCCATTACAATATTCTGCATACTTAATGGTGTAATTAGGTTTGTTTACCTTATGGTGAAGGGAAGGGTGGTTGGAAAGATGGCCAATTTCTGCAGCTGGAATACGGCTATTGTACTGCCAGTCTTCACTAAATTTTGTGTTATCCCTGATATCTTAACAATTTCATTAACAGTTCGGTCCACCGGAATACCGATAAATAAAACGGAAACACAAATAGCACTGCAAGCAAACGGTAAATGTTAGCAACAGCACCGCACCCGATCGAGACTTCAGCCAGCAACCTTGAGAGATCCCATGGGGAAATCGGGGGTTTGGGCAGAGTGGAATAGAGGCGATTTCACTCATAGCAGGCATTTTAAAAAAGTGAACAGAAAGGGAAAATAGGAAAAGCCGATCCAAGATTCGGTCACGGAAGATTGGTCACGGCGTTGCGCGAACGAATGAACGAATGAACCTCATCATAAACGCACAAACCACCACAAAGATCTCCGTATGAACCATGGAGCTTCTTAACCCGTAGGTTGCGTTACATGGATGTAGCAAGTACTTTTAATGGAAAATCTGCGTACATCATGACATAGACGAGCTAAATGCGCCATGACTACTAGACTACTGCGCAGGTGAGTTGTTCGCTTCGAGGCGAATGAAGACATTTCCGTCGTGCATTTCGTTGACTCCCGCGTATCGATTCGCTTCTGCAGATTTAATTCTATCAATGAATGTTGTTTTTCATTGCCAGCAACACTAATAATCCGTGTCGTTGCGACCCTTTTTCTATATCTTATAATCTTATGATAATAATGATAGTAATGATAACGTTAATGACAGTAATGATAATGATAATGATAGGATAATAATAATAAAAGGGATAATACTAATCATGATAATCATTATTACTATTATCATATCAGCACATTTATATTGCTTTCAAACCATTAACCATTACTATAATTATTATTATTATTATGAAAATTTTCATCATTATTATTATCATTATGAATATTTTCATCATTATTATTATCATTATGGATATCTTCATCATTATTATTATCATTATGGATATCTTCATCATTATTATTATCAATATTGATATTATCATTATCAATGCCCTCCTCCTCATTATTGATATTATCATTATCATTATCCTCCTCCTCATCATCATCATTACTGATATTGTTTACATTAATATCCTTATTACTATCATAATGTCTAGTTATTTAGTATCTCTTGTGTATATATTGTTTTGCATACCTGTACATCATTATTATTATCATTATTGTTACATATTTCTTTTGCGTTTGAGTAAGATCGTACAATTCTTGTCAACTGTATTATTTTTTTGTTTTTAAAATGATTGCATTCATTGTATGTTGTTTTCTTGTCCTGCTATGATTGTAGATCTATCAGTAGAATTTTTATATTAGAATTTTTGCATGCGACAAGTTTCTTACTTTAAGGTACAGTCGCTAAAAAAGTATCCTTACTCTTTCAGACTTACCAGTATGATACGACAACGAAAATAAGTAAAATAAGTGCTGTGAGGTCGACCTGATATTGGTATCCCTGACAAGGATGGCATTTGGGGGAGAGGGGCAGGGAGGGGCAGTTGTCCACTCCTGTACTCCCATGCTGCAATTGCTTGGGCAACGACAATATGGGGATTCCGGGTATTATCTTGGGGGAAGTCTCTGCCCATAGCTGCCCAGACACCGCAATGAGACTGAGATCTGGTGATTTGGGTGGATGGAGCACAGCGTAATCTCGGGGTGTTGCCGAAATCACGCCTTCACGACACGGTTCGTGTGGATATGACTGTTACCTTGGGCGAAATAAAATGGCTGCGGAACAGTTAGCACCACGGCCTTCACCGTTGGTAGAAACATTTCCACATAGGCATACCTCGTGAATCT